TGAGAATAGTGTTCACTTAATGCAGTGTTACTAATGTTAACAGTGGTGGGTTTTTTGCATGTCAGATGATGTAATATTTGCATCAAAATACTTCAGCACTCTCATGTCACTCAGCAGCACTAAATGCTGACTCCTCAGGAAAAGCAGCTGAGGAACCATGAAATGAACAACAAAGGCCTTCTATAGGAGTAGCAAAAGCTACATATTAGACAAGGGAAAAAAATAAATAAATCATATCTTTCTTCATGTCAGTGGCTACCTGGAAAGTACCAACTCCATGGTCATGACCACCAAGATAGAGACAGTGGCTAGGGAAATTCTTCCAGGCATACAATGCCTCCTAACAGAAGACAGATATAAAGATAATCAAAATGACTCCCGTTTTAGTTTTTTTTTTTTTTTTTTAAATGTAGATTAATTTTCCCTGAAACACAATAATACTTAATCTACATAGGTTACAAGGAACCTAGCTTTCTCCTTTACAAACAGCAAATCACTTATACTAGGTTTTTATTTCAAGCACACACTAAAATTATTATTCTTCACAAAAGAGGAAAGGGAGTGTCTGCCAATCAACATGACATGCTATTGAAAGACTGGCACTAATAGCTATGACAAGAGCAAACCTGTTTGAAGCAGAGCTGCTGCTGCTTTTCTTTTTCTATTTTTTTTTTTTTTTAAAAGGATATCAGCTATCAAAAATAATGTTTTATCTGACTAACAATCCAAGCAGTATTCCTACAGAAAAAGCTCCTACCTGATTTGCTTATATCTAGCAATGGCACATTCTTAATATTGATTTAAATTACAGCATTTGAAGAATGTTTTATTTAAACTGTGATAAAGACTAAGAGCAGAACTATATCAAGACAAAGTTTAATATGCTTTCAAATAAAATTGTTTATCCATTCTTTGGAGGCTTTACTTAATGTTTGAAATAAGTGTCTGCACAAGGAATTAACTGATTCGTATTTCCATGATTTCACCCATAGCATTCACTGAATTTATATTTCTGTGGCACGATGAATTCAGAGAATATAACAATAAACAGAGACTATTATTTTATTTTTCCTAATTTGCTTCCAACTTTATACTTCCTACTAAAGAGTCAGAGGTTGTAAAAAGATAAGGGAAAAAATAAATTTGAAATAGAAAATCTCTAGAACACTGGTATAATTGATATATTATCAGTTTATGTGCGTCCAATTCACATTCTGAATAAGTCTGCAGTTTCCACTTGGTAACACAGTTATACCTTGATAAAATCACATAATAGATCACACCATAACTTTTAGCAATCAATTTTTTCTCTTAATAATTTGATAAATGTAGCTGTCAAGTGGGATAAAGATCACAATTTTATTTGGGATTAACTATTTGAACTTTCAGAATTCCGTTCATGAATATTGCAACTGCTACAACTGATAGCATCACAATTTGGTCCCTTGTTGATGATGTAATCAGGTTGCAGCTTGCTGGTAAGGCTTGCTTTCTCAAAAGGTAAAGAAATGGAAAGAGGAAAGTGTGGAGACTCAGCCTTTTGAAAACTGAACTTCAAAAAAAGTTCAAAAAATATTTTTCAAACTTACGAACAAAAGTGATTTTGCTGTAAACTTCTCTTTTTTCATTGTTCTCTGGCAAGAGCTAAAACTGTTCTCCCAAACTAAAAAAAGAGCAGGAGGTAGGCCTGGCTTGCTGAACAGATGCTTAATTGACCTGTCGTTTTCATTTATGTCAGACTTCAGAAGCCAATAACAAAACAAGAGAATTGCCAAACAGAAGAGCACAATTTCCTAGGAATTCTTCTAACACCTCTTAAAGTTAAAAATTTATCTGTTCCTATGCATTTTACCAAGAATTTAAAACTACATATCAGAGAGGAAGATATATCTATCAGATAGCCACAGGTACTTCAAGCTCAGAGAGAAGGAATTCAGTGTCGATGATGGGAATGTCATCTCCAAGAGGAACACCACGCTGGAGAATTTACATGTGTCCTCAGCTATTCCAGCACCTACACACTTTAGATGCACAGGTGGAACCCTTACCAACAGGCTGTTTTAAGACTTAAGAGCAGAAAGGACTATCAGATAATAGCCTGATTTCTGGTGCATCAAAGCCCATTAAATTATCTTAAATGAGTATTGCAGTGTGCCCAGCAACCTCAGGCCTACCTAAAAGCTATCTTCCAGGAAGGTATCCAGTTTTCCCAAAGTTCATAGAAGTGGAACAGCTGAAATTTCTTCTGCTAGTTGCTGTCAGAGCTCAATCAAACTCATATTTAAGTGTTTGCACCTTGTTTCTGATTTCAATTTGTCTGACTATGCAGTCAGTAACTATTTTTTTTAGGCTTTTCTCAGCTAGATTAGGAGTAGCTCACGTCTGATATTTTCTCCCCGTGAAGCAACTCATACACTATAATCAAGTGTCTATCTATCATTTTGGTCATGAATTATGTAACTTTTCATGAGCACTAAGCCTTCAATCACCACGTAGGCAGCAAACTGCCAAAACACTATCATCATGATCTTTGTTCTGTGGATGCCCAACCCCAGAGACACCTATAATTTTCCACAGCAGCACAAGGCTCTTCCAAGCAGGCCCCAGAACAGGGCTGCACAGCAAAGGGATGTGGCTCATGCTTTTCCTTCTGCCAGGATCCAAAGGAATAAGCAATCCTCCACCACTGCATACTCCCAGAGAGGCAGACACACTCAGAGCATGCTGGATAATTTGAATGCTTCACAAGCATAGGATTGCTTTCAAAGAAAGAACGGATATACCAAAGAATACAATAAATTCATCTGCCTGCCTTGATTTTTTTTTAATTCATGAGAAATAGTTCATGACTCCTAATTCTAAATTAGCAGAACAGCTCCAAGTTTTCTGTTCGATGTCCTAAGCAGTTCCATAATCACATAAGTGACTACAACAAAGCCTTTTTTAAGCAGAAATTTTTTGCCTTGAACTATGTCAGCATTGCATCTAATTTGCACAGGGGAAACTCAGAGAATAAGCCCATTATAGTAATGCAGAAAAAAATGGGTTATTCTGGTATCCCAGAGCAGCACTCATTCTCAAGGATCACGTTCACTTTTAATATGAACTACTTCCGCAGCACAGAAATGATACAGAAAAAAAGCCTGATATTGTTGCATAACCTTCAACGTGATCAAAACAATAATTAGCAATCTGCTCCTCTTCTCTCCAAAGAACTTTTTGCATTGCAGCCAGTTTAATAGCCACACAAGACCACTACGCAGTAGTGAGATGCCATGGTTTCTGCAGTGGAATAACGGAGATGTCAATCCATAGATATTTTTCTCTTTGGATATAAATAACGCATTCTAATAGTATCATAATGCCTATGAGACAAAAGCTCCTAAATGGCAAACATTTACTTCAAACTAAAATTATCACTACCAAGCAGTGCTGTTTGAAAGCAGAAAAAGTATTGAGGAAAGCAGCTGGAGAACCAATCTCTATCTTCTAACACAGGTACTGCTCCTTCTCTTGTTCCACTTGTCAAAGCAATGAGCAATTAATTTGGTTAGATACTGGAGTTTTGAACAAACAATGCACAGATTTTGAAGTTTTAGAAAAATGTCAGTAGTTGTACCAGTGTTACCTCTTCCACATACGGGAAAGGTATATTTGTCTATTGAAAGCATTTTAGTTGTTATATTATCGTAAGTGAGATTATGACAGTGAGAATCCCATAGTATCTAGATTTAAGCTGAATTCAATGTTCATTCATGTTAGTTAGAACTATGGCAAAATGCAATCAGTTTTCTGACCTATTTTAAAATTGGTATTCTGCCAACTGGCACTTTTTTGCACATCCAGATATTATCCACCATATGCTGACATGACCTGATGATTGGTTCCAAAATGAAGTGGAATACTTGGCAAATAGAAATATATGGTACAAATTACACACTGCCTCTAGTCAGGAAAGTAAGCAGCCGTTCTGAGAAGAGTGAAAGGTTTTAAAATAACTTCAGCACTTGCATAGAGCTGAATGAAAGCTCCCTAGGTCATCTTCATCCCATGTATGTGACTCAAAAATTATGAAATAATTCCTTATAGAAGAAGATTCAAATCTGACAGAACAATAACAGCAAAACTTCAACAAAAGATTAATCTACATATTAAGGAAGATTTGGCCCACGAAGCTTCTTCCTCCTCTGTTTGGGAAGAGTTTGTAAATTCCAAACACTTTCTTCTCACCATCTGTTCTTTCTTCCTCTCCTCTGACTTAGCTATCCTCTCAGTGATGTCTAACTTATCTGCCTCTCCTGAATTAAGATAAAGTTTCATTCAAGTTTACCATTGTTCCTAGCATCCTCCCACTAAACTGTTTTTCCCATTTTTATGATCCAAAAATTGATTTTGTTGCTCTCCTGTTTTGAGCTTCACAATCTCTGCAATATATAAATACATTTTTCCTAAGTAGAAAACATCCCAAACTTATTCTTTTAATTCTGCTCCTAAAGCAATATCCTTTTTTGATTCCTCCAGGGATTTTCTCATATATGCTCTCCAGTGTAAAGCCTTAAAACATACATGGAAGTTATTGTTAGATCTCTGCTGTTCCATATTCTTATGCTAAAAACTGTTCTGTTGTAATGAAATATAGGAATTTTTGAAGCAGTAAATTCCTTTGCCACTGTATTCCTAAGAGATTTTGGTTTTTTGTTCTTAGGGGTTTACTACACGTTAAAAAAAAAAAACTTTTCTAAAAAGTTTCAACAAAATTTCAAGATGAGGCATTACCTTAACAGCACATTTCTGATGTTCATGAATTGAACCTTGCTTATGAAACATGAATGGATTTCAGTGCTTGATGCATGGCCATCACTCCTTGTGAAAACTTGCAGAGAACCAAACTCACTTTAAAGTCACATTCTTCAAAACAGCTAGCTTTCTTATTGCTATCATTTAAGCATGCTCACCGTAGAAAAGCAAAGAATTTGTAAGCAAGAGAAGAAAGACCTTACCAGCATGTAGGTACGCCAGATCAGGATTTTCAATGTCTGGGTGCAGTTCTTTCAAGTGGTTACGGAACTCTACGGGGATATTGGTTCCATAGTCACATTTAGGACAGTTATACATTTTCACTCCCTCATGCTTTCCTGTATGCAAAATGTGCTTACGGATGTTTTCAGCACAGTTAGATCTAAAAAGCAATGGAAAAAAAAAGAAATAGGTTATATAATGACAATATAGGTTTATTCATTACTATCATTCAAGCTGAAAATAAAATCTAGTGATACAACAGAAGATGGGTCATCACTCGTTTTTCTTAATCTGCCCAGTTCTTGCATTCTTTTAAATTCTGACCGGAAGCTGTTCTTTGCATGAAAGCTCCCAAAGATTTTTCAGGTTAGCTGAACAATACATTAGAATCAAAAGCATTTCAAAATGAACAGTTCCCACATTTGCAGAAGTCTTACTGTTTTTAATTTTCTAGATGGTAGTCAGTGATGGAGAGAAATTAAACAAAACTCTTTTAACATAGCAAAACTGATGTTTGTGTAACTATTCTGAGCTCTAGGCCCTGAATAAGCCTCTCTACTGAAATGCATGGATACCTATAGTATACCCAACTATACTCAGGTAAATCTGCCTTACAAAGTTCTTAGACTCTACAGGGATTCCTGCAAATGATTTTCTTAAGGATATTCCACAGACTTTTACCTCACCTTATTAACTTCTCCTATAACAGAGAAGTGAGCTGTTTACACCTCTTAGGTTGTGATTTACATCTGAAATACAGCTGTGCAATCAGTAAAGTTTTCATATATAAAAGTCAGAATATATATACAATTAGTTTTAAGCACTTCAATGAAATGCCTCCAATGATATTTCTGAGAAAAAGTGAATAGGAAGAGACCGCACAATTATTGTGTATATACAAAGAGGTCCACAACGTGACAGTTTTTAATTTTCAGTCTTTAAAATGTTAGTCTTAATCAAAAATTTTGCAGTAGAATTTCCTACTTACTCAAAATCTGCAACAAAACCCACATATGGTATACTGCAATTTCATTTATTTCTAGCAGAAATAACCAACGATTATTCTTGAAATAACGGTCTACGTACGACAATTTCTTCTGTAGAATTTCATAGCACTAGAGACTTAATTTTAAATTAAGAACATTAATTTAGCTTAACGGAAAAAAGAACAGACAACCAAGCATTCATAAACATTCAAACAGACAGTGGTAGTATTTTGAGCAACCAATTGTTTACTTGTCATTGTTACAAATATCACAGTAACGAGCACCTAAAAAAGGACCCCCATTATAAACTGGAAGTAGCAGCTTGAAGTTCTGTTGGAGTGCTTGTCTCTCCATTGGAGATGGTCATAGTAAAGATGATATCTGCCTTACGGTGCTGCCAAAGCTCACCCTCTGTCATCTCCATCTGCTATATACTAGTATAATGATCAGACTCCTAAGAATGTCAGGGAAGACACTTATGTTCACTGAAAAATACGGGAAATATTGGTCCTTGGCATCTTTCAGAATTCAGTCCTGAAAAAATTACAGTGTTCATAAATGTTCTTAAAGTGGAACATGTATTTTATTAAAAAAATGGATAGCGTACACTGCAATGAAAGCAGGAGACAATCTGGTAACCTTCTATCATGGGTTATACTTTAAAGGGCAGTGGATTAAAGTAGAGCATACAAATCTGAAATAAAATATCTGTGTCCTTTTAGTTCAGCTCTCATAGTACGTTCAGGAAAGATAAAACTTTTTGCTTTGAAATATTTCTGTGAAATATATAAAGGATCTGTGGAAACCTATGTAAGAGTTGTGAAGAAAACCCAGTCTGTTCAAGTCATAAAAGGCCAGCCCTATCTCCTTTGATTTGTGAATTTGCTTCAGCCACTCAAACGGAGCAAGCGTAAAGTCTCATTTATTTAGCCATCAGTAAAATTCTGTGCCTAAACATGCCCACATACTGATATATCCATTGTGGGAAATCAAAATTTTTAAAAAAATAAATAAATAAAAATATCTACCTTTCTACGTGATGAGCCCAGAAAGGCTTAATCAAAATGAGGAATTGAGATGGCCTCTCATATTAGGTTGCAATGCAGCAATTGAAATCATAAAGTAAACCAGGAAGGTAACAACTGGCAAATCCAAGCACTTCTGAAGCCAAGTGATACCCTTAAATACGACATGACAAAATTGTACTCCATATAAAATACTTTTTAATTATTCAATGCACTTCATCTGTTTTGTTAGCAATCCTCGAGTACTGTACAAATGTGTTATTATATGTATGACAAAAAAACCCCACCCAATTCCATGCATCTCCTATGACTAAACACAGAGCTCTGTGATTTTAAACAGCACTCTATTTTCATTACAGCTATGCCACGATAAACATCTAACTAAAATATTATACTAGTGCAACAGCGATGATAGTTAAACATTTGACAGGCTTTGTGCTATAAAATTAGCTTCCAGGAGTCTATAAACTTTGAGATAAAGATTCCCTTTGTTCTCAAATGTGGCAATGTAGAGCCCAGCACAAAGGAAATTGTTTGAATAAAGTCTGTTTTTGAGTTCCTCTCTATATTACAGCAGCAAACAAATAAAAGCATCTTTTGAAAATAATAAGCCTGTGTTCCAGTAAGGCTAAACCAGAGCAGAGCTTTTTAGTTAAATTATTATCATTATTTCTTAATGTAAGTATGCCTTTCTCCTTATGATCCATTTTGCATTTTCTAAATCAAATGTATGTATTTCTGGCAATTTTTCCACACTCTGAAATAACAGGAAGGGCACTCATTAGAGAGACTTAATTAGTTTGAAGCTATAGTCTGTGGGTTTGTATTTAATGCTAATGCAGAGAAGCAGAACTGAAATTTCTTTTTTCTAGTGTTACTCACATTTCTTATCAGAAGTGAAGAAAGGTTTATGAGACAATGCAAATTCAGTGACAATTCTATTATAGGGAAGAGGAAGACCTCTTGGTGTACTCTTCGGTATCCACTGCTGCACATGATGAAAGACGACATGAGACACTGCAGAAGAACTCGAAACATGAGGAGCTCAGCTCATACTTCCCATAAGGGCAACAAACCTGTTTGACTTCCTCTATCAAAGACTGATATATTGGGAAGGGTATAGGTGTAATTCCCTCTGCATATGGCCAGGAGAGCTCCTGCATTCCTGTAAGGGACAGAACTGTGAAGTAAAGGAGACAGATAGCAGATTTCTCCTGAGAAATCCAACCATTGCTTATGAGTAACAGAACTTCTCTGTGGCTAAAGACAAAAAAAAAAAAAAGATTTTTTTTTTTTTTTTAAATCTGCAGTGTTCTCCATATATTGATACATTCACATCATTGTCCTAACTGCACACATTTACGTTGTCATTAGAAGCCTATTCCTACCAACCAGTTATTTGACTTTTGCTGCTCCTGACAAATTAAGTACCAGCATATCAACAGCTGGTAATAACTTGTCCATTGTAAAATTTTGTTGCTACGGAATCACAGAATGGTTGATTGAAAGGGACTTCTCGTCCCTTCCAAGAGGAGGGAAGTCATCTTATCCAATCCCTCTGCACAAGCAGAGCTAGCTAGAAGCCTCTGCCCAGGCCCATGGACTGGTGGCTTTTAAAGATCTCCAGGCAAAATACTCCACAATCTTCCTGGGAAAATTGTGCCAGTGCTCTCACCTGCACAATAAATAAAATGTTTCCCAGTGTTCAGTGAGAATCTCCTGTGTTCCAGCTTGAGCCTATTGCCTCTTGTCCTGGTAGTAGGCACCGCTGATATCTTCTTGATAACTTCCTGTCATTTATAAGATTTTATAAGATTCCTTTGAACTTCTTCTAGGTTGAACCAGCTCTTTGAGCTTTAAAGCAGGTGAGTGATGCTCCAGTGCCATTCCAGTGACTCTGGACAGTCCAGGAAGTTCATATCTCTCTTGTACTGGGAAGCCCACAATGGGATACATCACTCCAACGTTGAGTAGATGGCAAGAATCACCACTCACCACCTACTTACAATACTAATTTGAATGCAGACCAAATACTGTTAGCATTCTTTGCAGCAAGGGCACATTTCTGGCTCATGTCTGCTTGGTGTCCAACAAGACTCCCAGGTCTATTTCTGCAGAGCTGTTTTCCTGTGTTCCCAGTGCATCCTGGTGCTTAGGGTTGATCCCACACAGGCGCAGAACTTTTCACTTTTCCTTACTGAACTTCAGGAGTTTCCTGTCCATTTCTCCAGCCTGCTGAGGTCCTTCTGGATGGCAACACAGTCCTGTGGTGTAGCGGTCGCTCCTTCCAGTTTTGAGACACCTGTAAGCTCCTATTAGTATCAATCTCCTATTAGTATCTCTTCCATTATACAGTACCTGATGTTTTCAGAAAGGTGCTTGCTGTAAGACATGGGAATAGAAGGCTTTGAAGGTACAAATGAGGCAAAAAGTGTTAATTGTCTAACTCTAAGTTTTAAAAATTTTAGCACCCTACAGGGTACAACGTAAAGCTTTTTTGAAAAGATTTCTCCAGGACACCAGGTAGAAACATCCTCATGCTGCAGAGAGATGCATATAACCTAAAGGCCTTCTGGCAGCTCCATGGATGTCACTATTTACAACATGAAAACAAACACAGTGATACAGCCAACTGAGTTAAAAGATTGCTATTTTTTCCTTCTAGTCAGTACGAATCAAGTTCACTCTGCTACAGAGAGCACTCCGAAGGTCTTCTGCACTGTTTATACCTTGCTATGCAATATATGAGAAGCACACAAACGTCACTGTTCTGACTGAAGTACAGCAAAGTCACTGCATACCTTCTTTCAAAAATCCAAGCAGCTATGATGAAAACAAACTTCTCAAGAAAACAGTATGTGTCAAAGATTCCTCTCTGGTTAATAACTGAGGTGACTAACAAAAAATTGCAGGTGTTTTGCTTACAGAAAGTGCCAGCTAATTTGGATAACTGACTTTAGTTATTGCAGTTATGATTTTAACTAGAGAAGCAGAATCACAGATATCTCAAAACAAGGTCATAAAGAACATTTAGCTTGATCTCATGAACACTTCAATTCATAGAATGTTTGCCCAGTGATCCTTGCTTAAACCCTCACCCCGTTTGCTGTTAAAACATTATTTTCTGAGACACACTGAAATCCAAAGGA